CCACCACTCCTGCACCCATGGCAGACATCATTAAGCAATTACCGCATTTTTTGCTGAACCTGGATATACTCTTGGAAGCTGACTTGGCACAGCTTTCCATGCAAGTGTTACCAATCAGTCACCCTCAGGATGAAAACCCCTGCCTCCTACTGAACAGCACTCAGCATAGTGCTTTGCAATCTTGATGTTTCCTTCCACCCTCCCATTCCATTACTGCTCGGTGCTCCAGATTCCTTAAATGGCTTGCTATCCCTAAACATATTAGCCTTTTTCTCCCTTATCAGAGCTTTTGTCCGTGACAGTGGACAAAACACCCTTGGTGGGTAGGGCGCTGGCCCCATATACTGAGGGTGGTAAGTTTGAACCCAGCCCTGGCCAAACTGCAACAAAAAAACAGCCTGATGTGTGCCGGGCACCTGTAGTCCCAGCTACTTGGGAAGCTGAGGCAAGAGAATCGCCTAAGCCCAAGATCTGGAGGTCGCTATGAGCTGTGATGCCACAGCACTTTACCAAGGGCGACAAAGTGAGACTCTGTCTCTAAACAAACAAACAAAAACCACCCTTGGTGCAGATTGCTACTTGTTCCTCAATATCTGTCCTCCAGTCTCCTATATTAATAAAATTCTATCTGAGAATATTGCCACTCAGTTAAAAATATTGCCTGGCCTCCCTTGGACCTGAGGGTAGCCATACAGCTGGGTTCTAGCCAACAAGATCTGAGCAGAAGTGGTGCGTGTCTCTTTTTCAAGTTTTGCTCTCGAGGGTTTGAGCCCCTACTCTCCTTGTCCCCTTTCCCTTTCATGCTGTCCAGGGGATGACAAGGACCAAAGCATCTGCCAGGGGACCAGAGGTGGAAGTCACAAGATGAAGATGGCAAAGCCATTTCCCAGCCCTGGACCACTCTCCTCTGTCCTGCTAAGGAAGAGAGCCCATGCCTGCTACCTTAAGTCCCTGAATGTGGGGTCTTTTGCATGGTGGCAGCTTAGTCTACACCCTAATTATATGCCCTCCCACCTGCTTCTTTGCTTCTTTGGCCTCCATCCAGTGCCACCTCCTCAGGCTCTTGGCACTCCCTGTGACCTCTCACCAGCACTCACCCCGAGCACGGCTGTGGGCTCTCCGCTAGGCTGGCTAAAAGCAACTTCTCCCCTCTTCACTTCTTCTCCCTGTAAGTGCTAGTTACCGCTGTAGCCTAAGCCCTTGGACCTGGTGGTCAGGGCATGACTCCGGCTTACCCTCCCCTCAGACAAGGGTCCAACAGTGACGTGATCTCCTCCACCAGTCCTGGTTCCCTCCACGTGCAACAATGCCCCATGCCTTGCACTGCCAGTCCCACCCAGCCCCACCCAGCCCCTGCAGGGTGGGCCTCAAGTATCTGCTTCCTTGCCAGTTCCAGCCTATATTGTCCTGCTCCTCATTTGTTACTAAGAACAGGGGCAGAGAATGGGAGTTTCCCTGGTCTTTGTATTCTTCTCAAGTGGCCTAGAAAGTCCCACGATATGTATATCTGTTCCCAAGGCCCTTCTGTCGTACTAGACCACATGCTTTGCAAATGGCCCACACCTATTCCTCTGAACTTCTGGCCACCATGACCCTCCTGATTGAGGCTTGACCTTTGGCAAGTCATCCCTGGCCTGAAAGCCTGTCAGTCCCCTGGCAAACAGCACATGCAGCCCAGAAGCAGGATGCAGCCAGATCTCAGCCAGTGGATGGCTATTTTGGGACAGGGAGGATGCTGGAGAGGTCAAAGTAGGAAGGGAAGGAGGCAGGTTTTCTACCCATGACTATGTGTCCCAAGACCTCTGGGTGTCGCCCTGAGGCCCAACGCTGCAGCAAGGAAGAACACACCCACCACAGGACTGCCGCCCAGGTCTAGCTGGCCACAGGGGTGAACTGGGGACAGGCACAAGGTTTGGGGATCCAGGCTTCAATCTCAGCGGCCACGGTGGGCAGGAAGAGCATGTTATTTGCTGTTTCCCAACAGCAGTGAATTCAGCATCAGGCAAGATTCGGGGTAGGGTGGGAACAGTATCTGAAACCAATCAGATGTCAGATGGAGAACACGAGAAAGAATCCAATCACGAGGAACGATTCTCTACTGAACTTTCATTGAGCAGCTACTACATATGGGCTACAGTACTAGGTGCTGGCAAGACAAGAGTGAATCATGCTTTGAACTTGTTAATGTCCCTTGACAATCGTATGAGTCCTGTAAGCATCAGGAGCCATGAAGTGGTTCATGGCCTGGTTTATAAACTCTGATCCTCAGGAAAAAAAATCAGAGATGCATGATGTGAGTGCAAGGAGAGTGATGCCTTCTTCATGAATTTAAGGATTTTCAAACATTTCGGAATCTTAGAACTCGACTCTACCTACTTTTAGTGTTTTGAGAAAGGTTACCCACCGATACAAAGTGCTTAGTACTGTGCCTGGTAGGTGCCAGTAGGTGCTCAGATAGGGGCAGCAATAGTAACTGCTGTTATTTATAATGGGTGGGTTTGGTGTACTGCGTGAAGGGGTGAGAAGCCTCAGGTGGGTCAGAAAGAGGCGCAATGGGGACCCAGCAGGACCTCACCAACACTAGGAGATGCATTTCACTCTGTGATTCCATGATGTGAGATGTCTCTGTGTAGCCTTTCTGATCTTTCTCTGCCTGAGTCCCCCAAAAGCTGGGGCCAGTCCCAGCAGTACCCCCTGCTTTTGCCTCAGTTTTGATCTTTCTCTTTAAATTCTTCTGGTGTGGCCCACCCGGCTCTGATATATACTTTGGGCCCAAATGCCCTCTGGGAAATTTTCAACACCCAGGGACACCCCTCCCAGGAACTCCTGCCCTCTCTCCTCCACTGCATAGCCAGCTCTTCTCCCCTCAGAGGACCATGTCAAGCTCTTCCTTCCTCCATGGTATCCCTCCTTCTCTACCCTCTGAACCTCCCCCCCACAGTCTGAGCCCTGGGGGTCTCATGCAGACTCCTAGCAGGCAAGGTAGAGAAAGCCATCTTCCAAATTCTTCCTCCTACCACAGCCCTTCCCAGCCCCTGGATCACCTGAGCCAGACTTTTTGATGCACAAAACTGAGACCTATTAGTCAGGCACCTACTGTAATGGTGGGCAGTACACTCAGCCATTGGACAGCTGTTGTGCTTTCTCCAATCAGGCCGAGTAGGGAGACAGGCAAGTCTCAGGCCATAAATGTGCAGCCCCCATTGCCAGGAACCCCAGGACATGGCCTGTGATAAGGATTTCTGTGCATCTTTGAAGCGTATGAACCAGCTGAGGAAATAATAACAGTGCCTGCCAGGGGTCAGGCAAGGTGCTCAGTGCTTTCCAGGGTCATCTCACTGAATCTCCACCATATACCTGCAGGGAGGCGAGTGCTATTCTTGCTTTTTAGATAAGGCAACTGAGGCATAGAGAGGTAAAATAACTCTTTAAAGATCATACAGCTGGTAAACGTTGGAGATGAAATTCAAACCTATGTCTTCCGTGGCTTCAAATCTCCTGCCCTTAACTAACATTCTATACTTTGAGCAAAAATTGGTTGTCATTGTCCAAGAGTTCTTTGGGAACTCTTAAAACTTGGGCTTCTCCAGAAACGCTGATGTACGTGGCTGCCCTGCCCAGGCCCCATCATCCCCACCCTCGCTTCTACCACATCTCATTAATCTTGGCATTTCTCTCTTGAAAGCTTTCCCAGATCCCAGGGCCCAATCTTCTGGGCCCAGAGAGAGGGAGGGAGCTTCCCAGGGCTTCCAGGCACCCTTTTAATTAACCTGGACGACCCTCTTCTGACCAGGACCAGCTGAATCTCTTCAGCGTCTTGCTGTCTCCCAGTGCAGCATCCCAGAACATGACTCCCACCCTGGTCCACTCAACAAACATGGTCCCTCCAGTTCCCATATGCTCAACATCTGTCAGCCTCTCTTCCCTGGCTTGGGGACCCTGGGTAAGGGTGGCTAGGGCCCCTTGGCTCCTATGGCTGGAGGAGGGCCTGCCAAGGAGCCCACCCAATGTCACCTGTGACCGTCCATGTTGGAGAGGCCACACTCTGAGCTGGCACCGGCCCAGAGTGGGGTGAAACTCTCTGAGATTACCTTGTTACCTTGCCTCTCCCAATCCTTTCTTAGGGCTTCCTTCCTCAGCCCCAAAGGGGTTCAGCCCATTCTAGTTACTCAAGGGAACAGTGAAACTCATTGGTCATTCTCGTAGTGTAACATTAATGATCAAGGACTTAGAAACATTCTTATGAACTGTAGCTTATCATTGGCCTTCACTGTGGACAAAGCCCTGAGCCCAGCCCCGGCATGGTGCCCAGCACAGAGCAGGTCATTGTCATAGCTGCCACACAGATGGACAGACATGGCTGAGGAGCAGGCCCCCTGAGACAGAGGAAAGAGGTCTAGAGCTGGCACATCAGGTTTTCCCAGACAAGACTCATAAGTGCAAAAGCAGAATTTAAATCCACATCAGACGGGTTAGCTGTATTTCACTATATCACCTTGCAAACCTTGTGTCTTCATCCCTTGCATGTGAGCACGCACATGTGTGCACAGAGCCTAGAGGCCATATGGTGAACACACACCACCCTCAGCCCACTAGCTATGGCAAATGTGGCCTGATAATTACAGGGTCAATCATTCATTCAGATAGTAAATGAACGGGTTTGTGGGGCTGATTTTCCCTTCAATTCTGCATAGCACTTCCTAATTCAAGACAGCTCCGCCCATCATCCTATCTGACCACACCATAACCTGGTTCAGAGTGTTGGGCCTGTAGGAGACTTGATGAATGAATGAATGACAAATGGATGGCTGGATGGTGGACAGGGGAAGGGCAGGCTGATCAGTGGGTAGATGGGAGGCAACCACAGATATTGTCCATTCCCATATTTCAAATGAGAAGTGAAGGTCTGAGCAGAGCATGGGTAGACCACAGCTACCCAGAAGAGCCTCTAGTTGCTGTCATAGGAAAGTCCAATCTCACCCATTTGCACAGCTCCTTACCTGGTGGGCAGTTACATCCTGGAGACGTCTTCGGGGCCTCCCGGCGCTTCCGAGAGTGGAGCTTCCATTTCTGCACAAGGAGACAGACAAGAGGAATCACCCAGAGCTCATAAACACCCAGCCCTGGAAAGCGTCTTCAGGCAGAGGGGAGGAGGGGAAGGGGGCAAGGGGCTGCGTGGGGGGAGCTAGCAGGAGGACTGCTCCTGGATCAAAGACCTCTGGTTAATGGCCTTCCACTGGCCACTGGCATCTGGGTAATAAGAAGCAGACGAGAAGGCCCATTTTGGTAATCTCAGCATCTGATGCCTTTGGAGGACTATTAAAAAAAATTAACCCCAACCACAAGGCCCTATAAACCAGTTGTGGCCTTCCTGCACCCTACACTCATACACACAATGACATGCTTTTCTCAGCTCTCTGCTAATTGTTTCCTGTCTCAGACTGGACTCCTGATGGATCCTGGGGCAGGGATAGTGCTTTCTGTTCTTCTGGGGTTCCTCACAGAGCCAGTGTAGCAGGCCAGGTGAGGGGGGCAGGAGTAGGGGGCTGGGAAGGCTCCTTGTACCCTTCTACCAAACCTCTTCCTCACTTCACCTTAAATTGCTGAACCAATCTGGAAAGATCCAAAAAGGCAGGGGCACCAAAGAGGTGAGACATCCCCTACATTCAGTAGCAAATGGATGAGGACATGCAAATGGCCATGCATGGCAGGATGCCTATGTGTGCCAATATCTGTATGCTTATCTGCAAAAGACAGGGGAGACATCCTTACATAAGAACTCCTGACGGCTTTGCAATGAAATGGGCCAGACTAGCACAGGGGTTGACATGGATGTCTTTGGAGCCAGAATGCCCTATTTACCACTGTTCTCAGACCTGAGGTTGACAATGGTCCTGACCTCATTGGGTTCCTGAGAGGATTGTAAAGGTTGCTGCATAGAAAGAATGGTGCCCACCATCCAGGAGGCTGTCACTAAATGCCAGCCAGCTATTACTGCATTTATTTCATCGGTGAGGAGCCTGAAGCACAGACACTGTACTCAGCCAAAATCACAGGTGAAGTGAAGGCCAGAGCTTAGATTCAAACCCACACTCTCTAATGCTAGTGTAGGAGTTAGAAGCTGGTAGTTCCAGGACCAAATTGGCCCTTCAATATATTTTATTTTGTTCCCACAGTGATTAATCATTATTATTATTCTTGAATTTGTTGCCAATACTTTAAAGTGGATGGTTTAACATGCAAATCTGCATCTCTAATTTCTCTTGAGAAATAAGCAGAGGATGGTGGCTCATGGCTATAATCTCAACACTATGGGAGTCTCAGGTGGGAGGATCACTTGAGGCCAGGAGTTCAAGACTGGCCTGGGCAACATAGCAAGACTCTGTGTCTATAAGACGGAAAGAAGGAAAGAAGAGTGGAAAGAAAGAGAGAGGAAGGAAGGGAAGGAGGGAGGGAAGAAGGGAGAGAGAAAGGGAGAGAGAGAAAGACAGGCCTTGTGGTCTGGCTGGTGATGAAGGACTACATCAGTGACTTGCTGAAGGTCACACAGCCAGGATGTAGAGGATCTTAGATATGAACTCAGGCCTTCTGGCATCAAGGCTACTATACCTTCTGGAGAAAGGTGTGTGCAAAGGCCTCCAGTGAGGGAGCACAGCAGACAGGGTAGGGGCTCCGTGGGAGGCCAAGGCAGATAGGAAGAAGAAAACATCCCACAGGGGAGATCCTCAGTTAAAAGGGGAGGCTGGACACACAATTATTAGGTGGATGGATGTCAAAACCAGCCTACATGTGGGCACAGGGTGGTCTCTGGGTGAACAAATGATCTCCCCTCTGGGAATTGCTCTTAGCTAAAGGCAGCTGGTTGGCCAGGGTCACGCCCATGCCCTAGGGACAACCCATATTCAGTTACTGAAAGATAGAGCATACAAAGACTTGGTCTTTTTGCTTTAATTTGGACTGATGCTGATGCCTGCACCCTCCCCCCAAGCTCCCACCCCCGCCCCAGCTGCAGAGCTCCCAAGGTGCTGGGAGGCCTAGGTGTCTCAAACTCAGATGCCAAAGGGCATGACTGCATCAATGCTCCACCCCTCCTCCACCTAGCCCTCCTTCCCTCACTCCCTCCTAAGTTCACCCCAACAAGTGATTACTTACCTCAGAGGAAACCCAACCTAAGGCAGACCTGGAAGTGGCTTTCATATTTCTCAAGGCTTCGCTTGACCTTCATCATTGCCCTGTGCTACAGGCAGGTCAGAAGTCAGCCCCATTTTATAATATAATTAAGAAAACTGAGACTCAGAGAGAGAAAAGGAATGGTCTTGAACAAGTTAGCCACAGATGGCTTAAATTCTGGGTCCTCCAAGGTCAAATTTGCTACTTTTGTTCAATTAATCCTACACTCATTGAGTTTCTACTAAGTGTAAAGCTGTGCAAAATAGAGAACAAGGCACAGTCCCCATCAGCAAACAGGCCTGAGTCTTGTGTGAAAGAAGCACCTTCAGCAGCAGCTGGTGACTGTAGACCTTGGATGGCCTGAATGTTGAATGAGAAGAGGGGCTATGATGGTTAATTTTGGGTATCGTCTTGACTGGGCTAAGGGATGCCCAGATAGCTGCTTAAATACCATTGCTGGGTGTATCTGTGAGGGTGTTTCTAGAGGAGATTAGCATTTGAATCTGTGGACTGAGTAAAGATTATCCTCACCAATGTGGGTGGGCATCATCTAATCTTGAATAGAACAAGAAGGCAGAGGAAGGGCGCATTCACTGTCTCTGCTTGAGTGGGGACATACACCTCTTCCTGCCCATGGACATTGACTCCCCTACACCTACAACCAGTTCTTGACCCTTCAGACTTGGACTAGAACTAATACCATTGGTTCTCAGGCCTTAGGATTTAGACTGGAACTATACCACTAGCTGCCCCGGGCTTCCAGCTTGTAGAAGGCAGACTCTGGGGCTTCTAAGTCTTCATTATCGCATGAGTCAGTCCCTCATAATAAATCTCTCCCTGTGTGTCTATGATATATCTCATATATACAGCTTACTGGTTCTGTTTCTCTGGAGAACCTTGAATAATACAGAGGCCTTATTAGTAGGGAATCCAGCATGGAGAAACCATTCTAGGGTTTTAAGCAAGGACGTATGTGGTCAAATTTGGATTATATAAAGGTTACTCTAGCATCATGTTGAGTCCAGACCAACAGACCAGAACAGTAAGAAGTCTGGGGCTGAGGCACTCCCTGGAGGACATCACAGTCATCATCCAGGGGAGAGATGCAGAGGGTCTGGCCTGTGGCATGGGAGTGTTATGTGGAAGAGCAGAAGGGGTGGGGGAGGAGTAAGACATATAGGAGGAAGAAGGGGCTGGGCACAGAGGGACTCAGTGTGGGGGTAGGAACCAGGCCCTAGTCTTGTCCTTATGGTTTCCCAGTGGCAGCATCTCAGCTGCCCGAGGGAAGATGATGAGTTTGGGGGCCTAAGGCCGTCCTCGTGGAGGAGCCCAGGTGGGCAGGCATAGTAGGTCTGGAGCTCAGGAGAGAGGCTATGCAAGAAAGGTGAACCCCAAGCCAGGAGCATGGATTAGGGGGGAAAGAGATATCTGTGTGGGCAAAGTCACCAGAGGTAGGAAACCAGCTACATTCAGGGCGGTATTTCCTTGGCCTTCCCAGTACTTATTTTAAGTAGTATTAAACCTCAGTATCCCCAAGATCCTTCCACAGTTTGGATTTTAATACTATACCCACTGATCCCAATTCCCCAGGGACCTCTAGAGCCCACAAAACCTTCAATCCATGGGTCCTACCACCCTTTTACTTACTATTCCTCACCTGCCACGTTTCACTGCCTTCTGCTCCCACCTCAATTTCTGTGGTTAGTGATTACAACCATCCCCATCTTCCCCTCTCATCCTCATCGACCTTTTCCCCTCATTGCATGCTCTTGCTAAGCCACACATCGGACTAGATCCAATGGCTCCACCCACCCCATGCCTGCACCCACGCAGCGGAGTGTAGTGGGAGAAAACACACAGCCTTGCTGACTGGTCTCATTTTAACTCATGCTTATTTTAAATAGAAGCTCAGCGATCCTTCTGCCATTCCCTGAATGCTTAAGCACCTCACTGTCCCGGGAGTTCTCACCCCTTCTCTCCCCACACAGTCAATACTCCCTTCCCCCACTTCATTGTCAATCTATGACCTTGAGAAGGCAGAACAGCAGAAGAAGACTTCCAAGGGAACCACTGCCATGCCCGCCCTCCATCTGTGTTGGTGCCCATGAGCACCTTTCTCTCCTCCCGCGTGCCCTGCCTGGGCTCCCAGGAAAGGCCAACCCCACCTGCCTGGCCAAAGACATCAGGCCAGTAAGCCCCCTGCCCTCCTGCCTCCTCAACCCCCTCTCTGGACTGGATTGTTCACATCAGGGGCTGTCAGACATTTCTGTAAACGGCCAGCCAGTTAATATTTTAGGCAGTGTGAACCATACAATCCCTGCCATCGCTACTCAACTCTCCTGTCGTAGGCTAAAGCAGCCATAGACAGTTGGGAAACCAATTAGCGTGGCTGTGTTCCCATAAAACAGTATTTACATAAACAGCTGAGTGGGAGTTTAGCTATAGTTGGCCCACCCTTGTGGAATCATTATGCAAATCTGCTGTTGTTCCTCTCATCATAAAAAAAAAAAGAAAGAAAGAAAGAAAAAGTCCTCTCCTGGTTCTGTTTAGCTCTTTCCCTAGTAAAACTCCTGGATGACACCTTTGCTGCCTCCCCCTTGTCTCCTCTCTCCTGGACCACTCCTATCTGGCTCTTACTCCTGTCTCTACCCACAAAGGCTCTCCTGAGGTCACCAATGAACCCCATGTTGCCAAGTCCAGGGGATGTCCCCCACCTCATCTCAGCTTGTCAGCAGCATTTGCTCACTCCTCTCCCCCCTCTACTCTCCTTCCTCTTCCTCCTCTTCCTCCTCCCTCCATCCTCCTCCTTCTCCTTGAAATGTTTCCTCCACTTGGCTCCCAGGACATTGCATTCTCCCAGTTTCCCTTCTAGCACCTGGCAGTTCCCTTTTAGTCTCCTT